TGCTACTGCACCACAAGACGAGATATTTATTCAGTTCTACTGAACTGAATAAATACCTCGTCTTGTGGACATATTTATTCAGTTCTACTGCACCACAAGACGATATATTTATTCAGTTCTACTAAAAAAAGTTTGGTGACCCCTGCTTTAAACCGACGACACAGATGAAGGAATGGTCAATAAATTATTTAAATTTACTGACAGTATTTTTGGGTGTTGCTGGCTGTGAGGTGAATGCTGCTGTTTACAAAAGGATTTAGATCATTTGGTGACTTGGGAAGATGACTTTTAATTGTAATAAATGCATTATGATCTCTGAATTTATTTTCTACTGAAAAAAGAAGAGTTAGAAGTGATCTGTTTATTTGTTTGTTTTTGAATTTCGCGCAAAACTATGGCCAGGTGGATAAGGCGCTCGACTCACAATCTGAGGGTCGCGGGTTCGAATCCGCATCCCACCAAACATGCTCGCCCTTTCAGTCGTGGGGGCGTTATAATGTGACGGTCAATCCCACTATTCGTTGGTAAAAGAGTAGCCCAAGAGTTGGCGGTGGGTGGTGATGACTAGCTGCCTTCCCTCTAGTCTTACACTGCTAAATTAGGGACGGCTAGCGCAGATAGCCCTCGTGTAGCTTTGCGCGAAATTCAAAACAAACAAACATTTTTGCAACATAGGAGTTATTTTAAGCTAATACAGCTTTATTTTCCAACAGGGTGCTTGTCTTTCGGAATGTATTCCCTACAGATGTGGTAGATGAAGTTACTTTAAGGCAAGGCTTGATAAATATTTGAATTATAAGAGCTGGATTTCTGTGTTTTATTTTCATTTTAAAGTTTACTATCATTTTTATAAAAATTTTATATTGAAAATAATAACACAGATCTTCGATGTTTTTATTGTCTTGAAATTTCTACATGTTCTACAGTGATTCCTATACGCTGAATCCGAAAATGATATTCATTTTCTCCATCACGTACAGATTTTTCACAAAACGTCATGTGTACTTTTACATAAGTGAACCATTTTCATTGAAATCGGGTCACATTTTGTTATGCTTAAAATGTTGACAGCCACTAGCTATAGATTTCTCTAGACCAATCGCGACGTGAGAGTCTTATCGGTCGTTCTAGAACCCAGAAGAAACACACCACTAGTATATAAACGGTTAACAGGCCGCATGACGTGCCTTTTCTAGGTGCTGTTTGTTTGTGCGTGCACTTTGACATTATTTGTTTTTCTTTTTATTATTATATATGCGTCGCTATGGCAACAAGAGGTTGTGTAAATGATCCAAACATATTCTGTTATATTGGTGGTAAATTTGTTGTAAAGAAACAAAGGCAAAACATTACAGAATTCGTCAAAAAAGCGTATTACGCGTATTTTGGAATAAAACTTAGGGACCAAGACAAATCATGGGCTCCGCACAAAGTCTGCACCATTTGTGTTGAAGAGTCGAGACAATGGACTAAAGGTAAGAATAAGTTTTGAATTTTGGAATTTAATTGGTCTGACGTGAGCCTAGAAACCACGGAGATGACTGCCATTTTGGCCCATGTTAACACCCGAAATAAAGATGAAATTTCTTATCCGAACCTTCAACCTGCTATAAGACCTGTTGCTCATGGACCTGATGTACCTGTACCTACTCCATCGGAGACTCTTCATACAGTTTCATCTGATTCTGAATCTGATGTCAATAGAAATGGTGATGGGGATTGTTTTCAACCTGAAACGTCTGGTGAACCACAATTTTTCACACAAGATGAACTTAATGATTTGGTGAGAAATCTGGGCCTTCCAAAGGATTTTTCAGAGATCTTGGGGCCCAGACTTAGGGCTAAGAATTTACTTTCTCCAGGGACATAATTTTACTGATACAGAAATCGTGAGAAAGAGTTTATACCATACTTTTCACAAGAAATTTCACTGGTTTATCACAACATTATTGCTGAATTAATACCAATTCTATGAGCTGCAGTCTATAAACCAAGTAGTAACTAGTAACTAACTGCCAGTTTTGTTATTGTTATTAGCCTAAACCACTAGTAACTAACTGCCAGTTTTGTTATTGTTATTAGCCTAAACCACTAGTAACTAACTATCAGTTTTGTTATTGTTATTAGCCTAAACCACTAGTAACTAACTGCCAGTTTTGTTATTGTTATTAGCCTAAACCACTGAGAAAAAAAAAGGTATAATTTATATTAACCACTAGGGTTTTGAGGCTGAAACGTAAGTTTGATATTAAACATGTATTTTTGTATTGTATGATTGGGTGAATTAAAAACAACGGTCTATATTAGCTACAGTTATTAGTAAAATCTTTCAAATCAATTGTAGTCGAAGCCATTTGACTAATAATTATGTTGTAGTTAACAGATGGCGCTAATTAACTATGACTAAAAGTTTCCACATCCTGACTAATATTTACGTTGTAGTTAACAGATGGCGCTAATTAAGTATGGCTAAAAGTTCCACATCCTGACACATACTTACGTTGTAGTTAACAGATGGCGCTAATTAACTATGGCTAAAAGTTCCACATCCTGACTAATATTTACGTTGTAGTTAACAGATGGTGCTAATTAACTATGACTAAAAGTTTCCACATCCTGACTAATATTTACGTTGTAGTTAACAGATGGCGCTAATTAACTATGGCTAAAAGTTTTACATCCTGACTAATATTTACGTTGTAGTTAACAGATGGCGCTAAGTAACTATGGCTAAGAGTTTCCACATCCAATAGCATGCCGATTCTCATTTTGTTTTTATCTCCAACGTTTTTCCCTTGTGAAGTTGACTTTATTGAAAGACTTTAATTAAATTATTCTATTAACTTTTTATAGATGCCGATTCATTTCCATTTTATTATTTTACAAACATATATCAGCTAGATTCGTTCGAACTTAATTTCTTTTGTCGCTTCTCATTTGCAGACGTAACATTAAATTTTAAATCTATAGAAATTCAAATTAAATGATCTACATACAAGATGTTTGAACACTCACAAATGTAAAAAAAACCACAAGACGAGGTATTTATTCAGTTCTACTACACCACAAGACGAAATATTTATTCAGTTCTACTACACCACAAGACGAGGTATTTATTCAGTTCTAATGCACCACAAGACGAGGTATTTATTCAGTTCTACTACACCACAAGACGATACACAGCGGGCCAGATAACTGAGAGAATGACGAGCGCGGGCCGCATAACCATTTTGTTCAATACAATACAGTGAATACACAAAAAATAAAGACAACAAACATGTTTATTTTCCAAAAAGTTATCAAAGAAGGCGACGTCAGCAATAAGATAGTAATATCACACCCAATGCGCACACATCCGAATCTCACAAACTAAGCAGCAAAAAAGGTTTGTGAGATTTGTGAAACTGGCGTTTAGCTTTTGAGATATCATC